AATACTTGATCTACTTGCTCTGCTGAGCCGTAAACTCGGAGCAATTTCGAAAATTAGAGTGAAAGCTCTTTTAGGAGACGAAGCAAAAGTTTTCACGCCAACGGGATGCAAACCCACGACATTACGGCTTTGAAGCGAGACCACTACCACTAGGCCACGGTGACACTGTCCAATGAGCGATCAGCAGCGCTTATGAGACAAAACCGGGATTTCGCAAACTTTGACCGCCCAGAACTCGTCTGGGAGGTCCCCGTAGCACTTTTAATCTGCATATTCGTAATCAGCATTCGAAACTCTATCGATGTGCCTAGGTCTCCATTCAAAGTTCCATGGGAAGTTCAAACCATTCCCTGTTAGTGTATTACCGTTCCGCTTTGCATTCAAGGCACATCATCATGGGATTTTAGCCAAAAGGGGATGCCCATTTGTCGCTAGGGGAAAGGGGCCTATTAAACCCCAGAGGAAATTTTTTTGCGGGTTAGTTGATTTTTCTTCTTCATCAAGACGGTATAAGGGGAGGGGGTCGTATGTAGAGGTTCTTGCCTGCGTCTGAGGAAAGCTTATTCCCGGTGACTTTCGCGCCGCTATATACCTCCCCCCCCCCCCTCAAACGTTCGCACAGTTTAAAATTTGGGGGAAAAAGTAGGAAATTAACGGAGATTGCGGAGAAACTGGAAAGCAGTTAGGAAATTGGAAAAAATCTGAGAAGTGGAGTAGGTAGGATTGGAAGGGGGAGGGGTGTATCTTCCCTCGTGGTTTTTCCGTTTTCATCACATGTGCCCCCCCCCCGCCCACTCGACGGACTTCGATCGCCATCATGGAGTGGAACTAGGGGGGCGGGGCGGGGGTGTACGGACGTTCGACCGAAATCCTCAACTTAGTGATGTGTCCTGTTTGCCAAAGTAAATACGACCCCCTCCCCTTATACCGTCTGTGTGAAACAAGAAAAATCAACTATCGCAGAAAAACTTTCTCGGGTTTAATACGACCCCTTTCCCCTAGCGACCAAATGCGATCCCCCTGTTGGGAAATTCCCAATGATGATGTGCCTTGAATGCAAAAGCGGACGGTAATACACTAAGATATTATAAAGGGGATAACCATTAGTGATGGAGCATTCAAAGTTACAGAATATTATAGGCTATTCAAAAACCCATGTAGAACGTGATCTATAGAATTTTGAATTCTACAAAAAGAATGAGCACTTCGTGTCTCTGATTTTTCACGGACAATGAATAATAAAAAAGTAGCTGCTTGATTTTTTGCTTAGTCTGACGCTCACACTTCAACACTATCAAAAAAGAAATCCTAGAAAACGTAGCCCAAGAAGGCAACCTCATCACTAACAAGCCTGATCGGCACTGCAATTTGAAATAAGATAAAGGCAGTTGGCACGATATTTTGATACTTGGCCTAAAATGCTAGCAGGGCGCCATATAGTGGGGAAAATGGCGAAAAACGAAGTGAAACGGTCAAAAACCTGCGAAGAAAAGCCTTCATTCTTAATGACTCGAAAGCAATTTCGGACGAGTTTCCGTAGGCATCTTGCCAATAACCGCTACGGTGGGTACGGCTGCATGTATGTACTCATATATCCATGCAGCACCGCAGCCGCTTCATACCAATCCCTTCGCTTCATATTTTACTTCGCAAATGAAGCAATACGAGCATCAGGTACGGTCGTCCATTTGTGGGCGGGCGGGCGTGGTGGGCGTTCGGGTCGGTATGTTGTAGCTTGATAGGGCCCTTATAAGGGTACCTCCCTTGGAAAAGGCGCTACGCAGCACCTGCTCAGGGTCGCGGAATTCCGTCCTGCCAGGCGGTATCAGTCCTACTCTTCTCAGGGATTTATCTTGCTATCTGCCTCTGGTGATTTTTACATTTATGTTATGTATTCCGCTTCGCTGCCCTCCTTTCCTGACCTATATGACATGCGAAATTCTAGAGTTCGGGTGTTTTTCAGAGGATTTCCTTCCACATATTTGATTAATTCTGTGGCTGAACTCTACAATAATTAGTACCTACACTCTTTTATCGTCAAAGCCCCTCAGTGAGGAGCCTGAGGGAATTGAGTACTAAAAGTGATTTGTCTAATTGTCTCAGACAGAGGCAAAAGAGTGACTCTTTTTCACATAGTTATGTACTTGAGTTCATTTGATTTTCTTCCTTTAAGTAACGCAGAGGGGGCGGGGTGCATAGCTAACTCTGTAGTTTTCGCCTAAGGAAAAGTCCAGAACAGAGGCCAAAATACTTTTTTGAATTCCCCTTCGAAAAATCACTATATAATAATTTCGACACTGTTTATAGTTATGAATAAACCGCTAGAGTGTCAGATAAAATCGTGTAATCCACAGTGAACACCTATTAGCTCCCCCCCCCAGGGATTTATTTTAGAACAGAATAGATTATCGTTGAAATGTTGGTACCGCACCAGTCCAGTTCTTCTCCAACTCTATTTTTCAGGGTAGACAGTTTGCAGTTGCTAATAACGAAAACACGGGAAAAGTTGTTTCTTCGATGTGGAAATGCGGAGCCCTATAACAGTTACCACGCCAACTTCTGTAGTCTACACTTTGAGGAGATATCAGCATTGGATATTTGTTGCATGATTAGTGGGGAATATAGGCATTTAAGTGGCTGCGCGATTTTCAATGAGAGTTACAGACGTGGCGTATCTCGAACGTGGCGGACCATTGGCCTAGCTGTTTTGTCAGTGGGACAAACTGCACTGACCACTTCACTGGCCACTTTGTTATCCTCCAAGAAGATATCTTGTAAAAGGAGGGGCCTTCTGAGATGTTTAAGGTTCTGTAAACGAAAACTATTTTTCTTTTCCCCTCTTAGTGTCCAGATTTACCAGGCTTCGTGGCTAAGCTCTGTACCCATAAGGCACAGCGACAAACACTGCTAATAAGTCGAATATTTAGTTATTTCTGCGTAACGAGGTTGTTAGATGGAACCTTCTATTGACCTGACGTTTCGGCCTTCTCGTCTTCTTCAGGGGCGTGTCACGGCACAAATGCTAATAAGCATTTCTACTTGCACACTGTAACCGTGACACGCTAGGAAGCTTACCAACGTTCATGTTCTTCTGACTAAATTATTTCTTGTGAGGGGTATACGATGTTTCTAAACACGTACTGTGACGAAGTACAGATATGGGCAAGAACGGGGAGAGAGTAAAAGGAAAAGCAGAAGAGCTGCAGTACTAACAATAAGCCAAAAACGGATTTAAGTGATAATGCGCGGCCCCTAAAAATGCTTACTCTGTGGAGCGGCGTTCATACTTGCGGCAGCGTCCGCAGCGTCTACCAGCGTCCACCAGCGTCACGAGGCCTACGGAAGTATAAGTGTCGATCTAGCGTCTGCCAGCGTCCACCAGCGTGTAGAGAGTATGGGGAAGAAGAAGGGTAGCAAATAGGTGGATTAGGCGTCCTGAAATTGCGGTATGTATAACCGCACCGCAAAGCAACTAAGGATGTACGGTGTAGTACTTCGAGACGCTGGTAGACGCTGGCAGACGCTTGATCGATATCTATCTATGCTATCTATGGTATCCTGGTGAAATTGATCAGTAGGATGTGTTGAACGAATGCAACGAACTTAGTAGTAGCTGACGCTGTAGGACGATCGGACCACTAGTAGTCGCTGGTGGACGCTGCCACAAAGTAAGGTAACCCGCAAAGACCGACCACTTTTCCCACTCTAGGGTTTATCAATAAGTTTGCCCTGAAGGACAAGGTGCCGAAGTCAGAGGCCATGATTATTGGAGAGAGCACGTGGGGGTGTAAGCTTACTACGTCATGTCTGTTCATCTAAGTTCTCCCACCAAGATCGTGTCCAATAAATTGCTTCGGCACTATTCAACAATTAAAATCTCAAAAATCAACAAAAAATTTCTGCTGAAACTTGGCCCAAAAGGGTGATTCGGAGCCCTGTTCACAAATATGTTATTTGTTGCGCTGCCGCCCTATGGCACCATTAGACGCCCAGTTTGTCGCCACCACCTTTCTCAACAAAATCGATGAAATCTTGGGGGTCAATTGACACCCTGATTAAGGATTTAGCATTCACTTCTACCCTTGTAAGAAAAATCGGTAAAAAAACTGGCCTCATTTCGGAAG